CAAATCCAAAAGGTGAGCCATTCTACAACAGAACCAGCCCAGACCCTTTGAAAAAGTCCGTGTCATGGAAACAGAGAACAAAGGGCAGGGAAGACTGTTAGATCCTTGTCTCTCAGGCCTGAGCGTGCGCAGATCACCCGGGGACCTCGTTAAAATGCAGATTTTGATTCAGTAGGTCTGGAATGGGACCTGAGATTCTGCATTTCAAATAAACTTCCAGGACCACCCTTTAAAGAGCGACGTTCTAGATCAACAGACATAACCAGAGGCAGTGTGTGACCCAAGAGGGGACTCTGGATCCCCAAATAAAACAAAGCACAGAGCCTTGGGTACCTACTTTTGGACAAGTGGGGGGCTTAAAGTATGGGCTACGTATTATTATTAGATGGCATTACTGAATTAACATGAGCTCTCTTGGCTGTGATCATGTCTTTGCAGTCAGGAGAAGGGGGCAGAAATACCTGTAGGTGACTCTCATCTATAGCGAGAGAGCACAAATATGAAAAAAATATGAACAAAACTAGTTTAGGTTACAGAGGTATTTGCCATTCTAGTTTACTGGAGGTTTAAACATTTAAAAAAATGAAACTTTGGGCATAAGCCGTGATCCTTCCAAGCCCTGGAGGGGGCTCAGCCCCCATCCAGCTCTTCTGTAACCCTCTCCCTCGCTCCAAGCGGAAAGTGCCTTCCTCTCCTGCGGTCGGTGGCATTCTGTGCCATTCTGCCCCAGACTCGAGCACTTGGATATTGGGCCTCATCTCCCTAAACTAGAGAATTCTCAGAAAACAGGAGTCCTGCCCTCTTCCTTGGTCCTCCCGTCTCGGCCCACCACAAGGCTCGACCCCGGGATGGCCAGAGGATCTTTTTGACTGATGAATTGCATGCGCCAGAGAGTAACCTGGGCAGAGGGAAGCATCACGGGGCATTTCAACTCACCTCTTTATTTTACTTGAACTTAAAAGTAAACAGACCAGTGCCTGAGGGGCAGGGGGTGGGGGTGCCCAGGTAAAGAAGGTGAAGGGATTAGCTAAAGAACAAGTAAGCAAACCCCATGCACAAGGGCAATAGATGGGTGAAGGCCAAGGGAGGGGCAGTAAACCAGAAAAACCACACCACCACCCTCCTCACTACCCGTACACAGGCGCTCAGCTCTGCTCTCGGTAAGGATACTCGGTTTCAGACAGGAACTGGCTTTGCTTGTAAAGAGAAAGGAGGTAGCTGCTTTCTCTTCTTTCTGCAAAGGGTCTCCTTGCAAACCGTCTGATCCTGGGCCGTTAGCTTTGCTCTAAACTTTCTGAATGTACATGGATCCCTCCAGGGGCTGAGTAAGCCCAGTCTCTGGGTTTATAACAGAGATGTCCCCGAGACTGAAGACCTCAGAGTCCCCTGACATGTAAACACTTCTGGTGACACCCTTGCAGCCAACCTCCTTATCTAACTAACACTTTGTCTCTGGAGGAGAGAAGAGAAATTGCACTGTTTTTGCTTTTGCTCTGCTGTAGAAACTGTGTGAAAGTTCATCCTGACACACGTGTGTGCACTGTGTTGTGTGAACTCAGTAATAAATCACTTCTCTTTCTTTCCATATTGAGGTGCAGAGGAGTCTCTTTGTTGGTTGTACTTTTATGTCCTCAAGCCTATGTTGGTACGACCTCTTTGGAAGCCGATTGACAATATTTATTAAAGTGAAAAATACACCTCCTATCCCCACCACTAGGTATTTACCCCACAGACATGCACAGCGAGCAAAATTCTAGAGAAAAGCGTGTCCTTCGCTAGGCACAGATGAAATAAGTTATGAAGCAGTCATACAATAGAATAGCAAGCGACTCCTCAAAAGGATAGGTGTGTTTCCATGTGTTGGCACGAAAGGACCTCCAAGATGTATTGTCAAGTCAATAAAGTAAGGTGCCACATTATAAGTCTACTGTAATCATGTGTGTACTATACATGTGTAGATACACAGACTTTGGGAAGGACAAGGAAGTATGTTAATGGTGGTTATCTCAGGAAAGAGGGATTGGTAGTTGGTTGCGGAGGGTATAAGAGATTTTTATTGTTTTTTTCTTTTTCCTTGTTTACTGTTTAAATGTCTCTTAAAAATTTGAATATAATAATTTATAATAAATATACTGGTTAAATGTAAATAAAACAAAGTACAAGCACCACACGGATTTACTAGACTACGATTCCATAAGCAACACGAAAGCAGGCTTCTCTCGACCTTTTCAAGGCTCTGTGTATCCCTATTGCTCAGACCACTGTCCTGCACACAGTAGATGCTCATACAAACTTGTGTTCGAAACCTAAGTGCCTTCTTTGTCTCACGCAAGGAATTTGACCTTGGAGTTATTTGATCTTCAGGACAAATCTCAAGGCACTCTTCGTTGATTCTTCTTCATGCCTCACATCTCTTCTCCATCCCTTTGCTTGTGCTGTTCTATTGGCCAGGAACACCCTCTCCTTCTCCACCCGTTTGAAATTGTACACACCTCTCAAGCCAGTCTGAAACTTCAGTCTCCAGTGAAGTTTTTCTTAAACCTGCCTGGGAAAATGTTCTGTCTCCTCAACTCGGGGTGTCATGGTAGTCCTAGGTGCCTTCCGTCACATTATATACATTATGACTTATTTTAATGCTGTCTGTACATGTGCCTTTTTGCCTACAACTATGACTTCTAATGCCAATAAAACCATTCTCATGGTTCTCTACCCCTGCCTCCATCCAACCTCACGGAGTCCCATATGGCCATCAACCCACTTCATTTTTAATAACTGGGATGTGAGTTGAAGTTCTTTGGGGATCTCCCATTGATTTTTTTTTTTTTTTTAAACCAAAAGTCCTATTAGAGTCTCTTCATTTGTCTAAGTTATACCTCTCCTAAAGTCAGCCTGTATTCCCTCTTCCTGCAGGAAGCCTTCCCTGATAGCTTGAGCTCAAGGGGATAACCCTTCTTATCTTTTATCACAGTTAATATCTGAACAATTTATTGGAAATGATATGTGTAAAACACTTAACTTAATATCACAATACTTTTAAGCGAGTAACTAACTGATGTTTCTCATGCCAAGATGTCATAGCATAGCAAGCCATACACTCAGATTGGGAAATGACTCTTTTTACACGAAACATGAGCACTAAGTCCAGGAGATGGATGCACAGGGGGATAAGGCTCCCCAGAGAAGAATGAGAACACAGTTTCCTAGTGCTTCTGTTGCTGTCTGCACTGGAAAAGGGAATGTTTTCTCAATAAACAATCAAGCAGCTGACTCGACCACTTTCTCAGGATGACTTAGTTCCAGTCTTGGTCCTTTCTGTTCCTCATTTCCCATGTTTACAAAACACACAGACACAGACACACACACAGACACACACATACAGACACACAGACACAGACACAGACACACAGACACACACACACACACACACACAAACGAGGCAGAAAGATCCATGCCAGCTCCTTTCTGAAAAGAATCAATTCAACTAAAAGTGGGATTTGGATAAGAACCATATGTCTTCATCACCACCCTATCCTACTCCATCATCTCTCTCTCTCTCTCTCTCTCTCTGTCTTTGTGTTTCAGAAGTTCTAGATGCACCCTTTAACCAAAGATCTTCAAGTCCACTTTAATTTCTTTGGCAATTGCTGTAAAATTATACACCTCTGGTTTACATCAAATTAGAATTACAAAAATTACAGAGCCTCTACCAAAACAAAATGCCCTAGAGTGTGTTCAAGAGTATCATTTGTAGTAGATGTAGATAAGGCTATTAAGTGATGACGTCCATCAATTCTACTACCGAAATCAAATACTGGCAATTCTGTTTCCTTTCACTTTTGTAGAGATACGGGACTCAACACTTCATTTAAATGTCCAAACTTGAGGACACTGGAGGAAAGATACCAAAGCCGTTTAAAACCTGTGTTTTTTTTTTTTTTAGTAATCCATAAGTTATAGAGCATGTAGCCTAAGAGAACTGAAGGAAACCCAGAGCAAGTTCTGTAGGATTATAACACAATGACGGGTGGGAACTATGGAGGAATAAACAGAAATGTGCTCACTTTGGCAGGATGGGGAGAGGGTCCAATTCTTCAGTTATCAAAATGAACAAAACCTTTACTTAAAAATTCATCAACAACATATACTTTCAGTACACTTTTTTTTTTTTTTTTTGTAATACATGCTGGTGGATTCTCTGTAAACACCAGTTTCTTAAAATATGAAAAAGCTTCCTCCTTTATCTCTTCTGTTTTGCAACAAAGCTTACCTTTACTTCAAAGACAGTGTGACTGTACTGCCTGCACCCATAATGCTTGCAGTTTTAGTGCTCTGAGCCGCCCCAGAGGGAACAGGTGTTAAAAACATTTCTATGAGTTGCCTCTGGGCTCTGTTTCTGGTGACACCCTCAGCTCTTCAAAGCAGGGACCTGGGAGGGAGCTTTCAATTTGTCTTGTGGGTTTCGGTGCTGAAATGCTCAAAGCCCTGAGCAGGCCTGGGCTTCTCTTGCTCCTTCTCTTCCGGATAATGGTTTCTGAAACTTAGCTCCTCATTTTAAACGAGCCCTCGGTGATGGACGAGGTCTCGGAAATCTCAGGAACCTTTGAATGGAGAATATAGCCCCTGGGAATCTGGTCTGAAGACCGTTGGTACAATCGGAGTTGTACCAGTAAGTTACCCTTTAGCCTAGTTGCTTCCTTCTTTGATCGGAGTCTCTGGCTCCACAGGACGTAAATCTTAATTTCCCATAACTCACAGCTCCTCTGGCCTGTTTTGGCTCATGGGAGTCTGGAAAATTTAGCGAGGATAGCTCAACACATTTTTCTTGCAAAAGCCAAACTATTTCAGAGAGTTAAGTGCCTGTTTCTTTTCTCCCTGTCTCTACATGATATATTTACTTTTTAAAAAATCCTCTCAATTAATGTATTAGTTTATCCCCAAGGCTCTCCCTCTGGGGAACACAACGTAAATCAGAAAGGAAAGGCGAGGAGAAGTCCACTTACCGTCCTCTGAACCACCAACACCATAATGGTCGCCAGGGCGAAGACGAGACACAGAGCCAGCGAGGCTGTGGTGAGGTAGAAATAACTGCGGCTCGTGGTCCCCAAGTGGCTGGTGACGGAGCCTGCCGGCTCATGCATGGCTGCGTGCTGAGAAGGGGCCACCCAGCGGAGTGCTTGCTGCGGTCCTGGGCCCATTCTTATATAGTCTTCCCCGCATCACACCTCTCTGTCCTCATCTGATTCGGTTCGGGCCCACCTCGGTTCCAAGAAGGATTCTCCCCTGCATCCTGGATCATGTGACTTGGAAAGAAACTTTCACGAGCTGCCTGGCGAAGAAACTCTTCTCTGGGGGCGGGAGGCGAAAGGCAGCCTCTGGGGTGGGGGAGAGGCTCATTTTTCATCGCCAGGGATTAATTTGAGTGCAGAGCCACTGTAGCGACACAGAAGGTGGCTGATGTCAGAGGGCGAGTAGGAAAATGACAGTTTCCCTATTCTGGGGTGTGTGTGTGTGTGTGTGCACACAGAGTCACTTCTGTTTCGCTTAGGCTCAGCCACAAAACGCCTTCCTGCTGCAGAAGCTGCATGTTCTCTGCAGGGAGGCCTGCAGATCAGAAGACCTCAGAGAATGCCTGTGTGCTGGGCTGCACGGAGGACGAATTCCCTGTTCAGCTAGACAATTTCGCTCCTGCTGAAAACTGGAAATGCCACCAGCTGTCCGGGAGGGAAGAGCCCGTGAACGCGGAGACTGAGCCAGAGGACAGGCTCGTGGCAGCATGGAATTTGAGGGCAGGTGCAAAGAGACTGTTTGGGAGCAGAAAAGCTGAAAACAATGATCTTTCGAGCAAAAATTTTTGCGGAGTGTATTGGAACCTATTAAAGTTGCAGATAAAGCTGGGCTTGCCCATAAAACTCACAAAAGGGGAAGGAAGGGGCCCCGAGTTGGGGTGGACAGGTGGTCTGGTGCTGAACGTGCGGGGTGAGTGCAGGGGCTGCGTGTGTGGTGTGTATTTGTGATGCGTGGTGCATGTTGTGTGCAGATGTGTGTGTTGTGTGTGATACGTGTGCATGTGACTATTGTACTTGAACCTCTACTGTCCAGGCACAGTGTTAGCAGCTCACACAGGCCTCCCTCCACCCTCCCCTCCATCCTGAGCCAGGTGATACTACTTATTTTCCGGATGGGAAAATTGAGAATCAGAGAGAAGGAAAACTGTCTCAGGCAAAGTCGCAAATGCTGCTCAGTGAGATAAGGGGTGCACAGCCGCACTGGCTAGCCCCGAAGCCTGCGCTGAGTCATCCAGTGGTCGCTGCATTTCAGGTTGGGTCTCAGCCCTGCCCCTTGCTGGCCTGGGGTCTTGTACAAGTCCTTCGGCCCCTACCCCATCAGCACGGGCAGATGCTGTGAAGACGAAATGGGTTGGCAATGTTAAGGGTACTTCGTGCCCTGGCCGGTTTGGCTCAGCGGTTAAAGCGTCGGCCCATGGTCCAGAGAAACCCGGGTTCGGTTCCCGCTAAGGGCACGTACCTCAGTTGCAGCTTGTCCCTGGCCCTGGTTGGGGTCATGTGGGTGGCAACCCCTCAATGTGTCTCTCTCACATCGATGTTTCTTTTTCTTCCTCTCTCCCTATCACTCTATCTGAAGATGAATGCAAAAAATGTCCTTGGGTGAGGATAAAAAAAGAGTACTTCGTGAGCGGGAAGAGATTTGGCTGACTTGGCTGTGGTGTTGGACCATTTCACTTAAACATCTGAAGTGGTCCCTGGGGCCCAGTCTGGAATTGAGATCGAGTCAATGAACAGGTTCTCTGGGGGGTCAGCGGTGGGCATGTCTATACTCACTAATGTAATGCTCCCCGTGTGAGAACACCGTCTGAGGCGTGAATCACTGCAGAGCTGGTGCTCTGGATACGGCTCTTTGAAAGTGTCACCTGGCAGCACCCCGTTCTTTGTGGCACCCCTCCCCTTTCTGCTCACTGTCTGGCTGTAGTGCGTCTCTGAGAGCCAGCAGACACCCCAGCCTTGCCTGAGGGGGTCCTGAGCCGAGCTTGGATTCGTACCGCCGCCGCCTCTGTGTGGATGCCACACTGCTGAGCACCATCTGCGCGGATGCCACTCTGCTGAGGGCAGACGCTAGGAAGTGGTCTGGATAGTTCTTCCCAGCGAACCTAGAAAACCCGAGATTCTGCCCATGGAGGAGAAGTCCATTTTCTAAATAGAGTGGTAGGCTGTATACCTACTTTACATTCCAGGAAGCTGCGACCCCTCGGTCCCAGGTTGGGACTGTATCCCCCAAGTTTTACTGAGAAACAATCAGTATACCTCATGGTCACTGTGTACATTTAAGGTGTAGAGTCCAACAGGGTTGTCGTCGTCGTTGTTTGATGGTGAAATGATTCCCACAGTAGGTTCAGCTAACACCTGGGTTTGGTTTAGGAAGAAGTCGGTACGCACACTCACTTGGTCTGGGGACTGAGGTGGGAATGAACAAGCCAGTGGGCTTCTCTGCACAGGTGCCTGGCCGACCGGGGAGAAGGCTGACCTGCTGTGGGCACGGGCACTGAGTGGGTAGCAGGGGCCCAGCAATCTGCCCAGAGCTGCTGAGAAAGGGCTGCTCCCCTGGCCCCTCTCGAGTCTCTTTGATGAAAGTGGAAAACTTCTGATTGTTCAATGGAAGCTGTGGGTGTTGAAAAATAAAGAAGTGCAGGTCTTCCTGAAGGCCTGCGGGGAGGAGAAGGGCAGTGGAAAAAAATGTTTGTCTTACAGTTACCCGTTTTGCATACAGTACAGGGTCCCGGGAGGGAAGGCTGACAGGGGGAAAATCAGCCTGTGTGTTTACTCAGAACCTCTGAGCAGTTGAGATTTCCAGATCAGTGTGCGGCCCTGGCAGCTGGTGGGCCCGCCTCCACCGCTCTCCCTGCGGCCTGTCCACTCGCTAACCCGCGCGGTGTCCCGATCCCGCCCCCACGGGTCCACACTCCGCCCAGCTGCTCCGGAAGCCGTTCCGGCCACCCTAGCGGCCTCATCCACTGTGCACACTGGCTTCTTTCTTCTTTCTATTCAGCCACCCAGCGTGCCCGTGGAAAGAGCCTTCACAAAATTTCTTATTGGGTGATTCTCTAGTCCTTTCTGGAAGGGGACCCGTGCAGGGAGGGACGCCTGCAGAGCTTCTCTGGCAGAGGGGACAGCCTGCTCGTTTGACCCTCGAATAGCCTGGGGTCCATCCCAGATGGGACAACATTGGGAAACTTGTGATTTAGCTCGAAGCCCTCATTGCTCAAATCAGGAAACTGAGACAAATAAATGGAAAATTGTGGGAGTTCAGATGCAGAGGCTAGAGATACACTTAGACGTCCCCTGTGCTCATTTTCATCCCTTCTCTGCTAATATTCCAGGAACACCCCGGTTTCTTTCTATTTCTCCTCACCCTTCCTGCCCCTCCAGGCCTCTGGCTGCCTGCCTCACCTCCTCCAGGAAAGCCCGTTCAGCTCTCTGAAGCCCATCAACAGCTCTCCAGAACCCTGTCTCCACGCCACCTAACGTTGTATCGAGTGGCCCACTCATGCCTTGACGTCCGGCTGTCACGTGCGTGCATGTGTGTGAATTTTGCCTTCCTCCTAAGACTGAGAGTCCCTGAGGGCAGCCTGTACTTTCCCAGTCTTCAGACCCCTGGCCTCCCACGCTGCATTGCTTGGCGCCGAGCCTGGGTATGATCAACCCCCAGTCAATGCTTGTGTTGACTTTGTGTTTATGGAAAGAGAAAGTTCTGGAAGCTTGGCTTATACAAAGGAGTTGTATGATAGCATATTTGCCTCTTACGTCTCAGCTGTCCCCCATTTCCCTGTTCTCCTCCCGATGGCTCACCTGGCCCAGGAGAGCCACTACCAGCCTCTTTCCAGCCTCTGATTAGTAGGGAGGGGCGGCTGCAGCCTCTGAGACTCAGTGGGCAAAACGAACCAATTTTTTATCTCTTCAGGAAGGGGCCCCATTTTAAAAAGAGGAGCCAGCTCTAATCCCCCCACTCCAGTGCTCCCCTGTAGAAGGGACTGTGATATCTCCAGCGCGGAGCTAGTGGCTCCCAAAGTGTGGTCACTGGACCAGCAGTAGTGGAACTTGGTGGCACTGCAGATTCTTGAGCTCCACCCTAGACTTGCTGAATCAAAACTCAGGCTGGGGTACAGCAATCTGTGTTTTTTTTTTTTTTTTAACATCCTCATCCGAGGACATTTTTCCATTTTTTGTTCAGGTAGAGGGGAGGGGGAGAGAGAGAGAGAGAGAAACATCGATGTGAAAGGGACACATTGAGTGGTTGCCACCCGCACAACCAACCAGGGCCGGGGACAAACTGCAACCAAGGTATGCACCCTTAGCGGGAACCGAACCCAGGTCTATTAGGACCGCAGGCCGACGTTCTAACCGCTGAGCCAAACCGGCCAGGGCGCAATCTGTGTTTTAATAAGCACTCCAGGGAGTTGTGACTCCTGAAACCATTTGGAAATCACTAGTTTAAGGAAATGATCTGTCTATTCCAGAATGAACCTCCAAGGGATTACCTGGTCCAGATGGTGGCCTTTGGGCAGGTGAACACCTACCCCCATTGTACAGATGAGAAAACTGATGCGCAGAGAAGTCATTGTCCAAGGTCATGCAGCTGGGGAATGTTGACACGAAGACTCGTTTTCCTGTCCCTTGATGGAACCCCCTCTCCAACCTCAAATGTGGCTGTAGGCTGTAAAAATACTATTGCTTATGCAGATGAAGATGTATCTGTAGTACGTACCAAAAGTTCTATTGCGGGTGATCATTGTGGTAGAAAGATATATTTTAAAACTATCGGTATCTATGAGAGAAGGACGAACCCCCCCGGGTATTTTCAGGCAATAAAATATGCAGCAGCACTGCTCAGTGCGGAGCGAGGGTCCTGTCCCATTAACTGGTGCTACCTTGAATAGACTGGACATTGCAGTTGGCCAGAGCGACACCCGCTGAGAGGACGCAGCGAGGACAGACACCGTGGGGGACAGGTTTAGAGCAGGACGGCAAACCCTGGGCACTGGCCAGAGCCGACCGCTACTGCTTTGTACATAAAAATGCAAAGCAGCACAGTCCCGTCCCTGCACTGACACGTCGCCTATGGCGGAGTTTGCGAGGCAAAGCCGTGTTGAGTCGTGGAGATGGAGCCTCATGGCCCGGAAGTTCTAAAATATTACTATTTAGCCCTTTACAGGAAAAGTTTGCAGACTCCTGGCTTAGAGTATGAAAATCAACTCAAGGTAGGGTAACCAGATAAGTGGTTTTGGAAAACAGAACAGAGATGTGTTTCCTCCGAGTCCTCTATAAAGTCTCACCTTTACACTGCTAACTCATGCCTACCTGGGAGAAAATTCTCATTTGTGAATCATCAGTTTTAGAGGACCTAGATGTCCTGATTGGGGCATGACAAAAATAGACCACTGGA